CAGTCTTTTTTTTTGGGGGGGGGGGGGAGGCAAAGGTATTTGAAATATATAACTGACAAGCTGGACGCTAAAGAACTCGCGGACGGTGGTACGTTTGGACATACTACATGGGCGGAATCAGAAATTGGTACAAATTTTGATCTGGAGATCTGAACGGACGAGGCGATAAATGTCATCTTTTGAGCACTTAACTCAACAACATAAGACAGATGTTGATGACTTTCTGCACTGAAGATGGGGACAGTACGCTTCTTCTTAACGTTGGCAGCAAGAACCCAAAAGGACGTCATCTTATTGACCGCCGTGAATACCTCGGATCTGACAAGAAAGATGCCTTCCCCGCTTAAGCTCAGCAGTTCAGTTCCGAATATTGTTGTTTCCAATCTAGAAAAAAAAACTCGTTCCAACGAATTAAGGTGGTAGAAGCGTAAGAAATAGTTCTTCAGTGCAATTATGTCTGTGTTCGCTGTGTGCAAAATTCTGAATGGCCTCGCTTTAATTTCACACGCTGCTACATTTACGGATTGACTCTCCGGCGTAGAAAATAGGTATTAACCTTTATACTGAATCTGCTTCAGAAGGGATTAATTGAAACGATTAATTGAGCTTGTGCTAACTGAAGACGGAGATAGAGCCCCATCTCCGAAACGTCGTTTTACGTTTTATATTTTACTAGACGATGGATAATATCCAAGAAAATTTTTATTCAAATGAGTTGTCAGTCTGTCTGTCAATTTATCTATATAATATATTATAGTAATAATATATTATTATTCGGATACTTTAATTGTTTGCGGGATTTAATGTTTAATTTCCGCACGATGTGACTTCTATGCTAGGATTCGCCACTGATGAAAAGATCACGCCTGCACGTGCTTGTACGTACATCTTGAAAACGCATTTCAGGTAAGTTTAGTATATGGGCCTGCACTTATAAAAATGTTCATTAGACTTTCTTAATCTGTTTTTGTCTCTTCAATTTATATGAAACTCATATAAAGCTTTATAAAATTTGTCAGAAGACGCTCATCATACAATATCTGATGCTCGCCCTAAGACATTAGACATCGT